CTTGTACTTCTCGCATCGGCCATTAATTTTCTCCCCATTCAATGCCTCAGGCCAATGCTAACAAAATTAAATTGGACAGGGATAAATGTAAAGTCCCAAGGACCAAACACTCCACTCAACAAAAAACAGGTTGGGAGAGGTGAGGCAGCCCTTGTGAAAAAGTCCTGGGAGACCAAGTCGGCAAAAACACCGGGTCCCATTAACAGAAGCACGGGGTCCAGAGAAGAGGAGGAGACGGTGCCGCCGGGTTCTGGGCTGGTCAGTCCCAGCCCAGAACGGTGGTCTTGATGGTGGGTGCTGAACTTCTGGGAGAGTTGGGAGCTGACCCAGAGGACGGAGCCAGGCTGGAGAAGGGTCTTGATACCATCAAAAGAGAAATGGCTAGAGGAACTAAAAATGTTTGACATTCATTTAGGTGACGTTTCCAAATTCTTGACTGTACAGGCAGGGAGCAACCTCTTTTACTCTCCGTGTACCACTTCTCTAGACTGGGGGTGGGGGTCAGGTTGGGGGGGTGAGGTCAGGCTTCCAGCCTCTTAATAAGGTCTGGCCAGAGAAGGCATCTGGTCCCAACTGTTGGCAGCTTGTAAGTCACCTCTTCTCCTCACCCACAAATCCTGGACAGCTGGAAAAAATAGTTTGTGCTTCCATCCCATTAGACACGATTTCTCTCTTCCATGATTTGAAAGGTTGACACATGATTGAAAGAATTTTTTTTTTCCCCCAAAAGGGATTATAAATACCACCCGAGGATGAAGTTTTGTGGAGGCAGGCGTCCTTTCAGGAACTTAAAAGCTGTTTGAAAAATGGAATGCTGTGGGAGGTGGCGAGGCCCCCATCCCTGGCAGTTCCCAATCGGGGGGTACTGGCTAGAGGATTCGGTCGACTGGCGAAGTCGCTTTGGAGACCTAATCCTGAGAGACTGCATGAGTTTCCTTGTAGCGCACTCAACAAGACGATGCTTTTGCAGATGCTCAGTAAACATGGCCTCTTAGATGCCGCCCACGGGCTTTGTAGCTGACAGAGAAGCAGGAAGGCCTAACGTGGCTGTGAGGGGGGCCGCGTTCACCTGCTGCAGGGCTGGGCCCCAACGAAGAGGCAGGATGTACTTCCTCTCACACAGCCACCAGCGACACACCTGCTTTCCTTTCCTAGAGCTGCCACAGCAAATCACCACAAAGCGGAGGGGTTTAGGACAACGGAAATCGATTGTCTCGCAGTGCAGGAGGCCAGACACCCAAAATCAAGGTATCAGGAGGGCCGTACTCCTTCTGAGACTGGGTGGCATCCTTCCTTGCCTCTTCCTAGCTCTTGGTGGTTGCCAGCTCTCCTGGGAACCCCTCAGCTTGGAGACACATCACTCTGATCTCTGCCTGTCTTCACATGGCCTTCTCCCCCGTGTCTGTCTGCATATTATAAGAAAACCAATGATTAGATTCCGGGCCCACCCTAGTTCAATGTGACTTCATCTTAAAACTTGAATGATATCTTCAACACCCTGTTTCTGAGCAAGGTCACATTCTCAGGTACCAAGACTTTAACATACCTTTTGGGTTGGACACAATTCAGCCTACAACAATACCCATTCTTTTAGTCTGTGCAGATGATCTCAGTGCAGAAGGAAGAAGGGAGAGAAGACAGGGAAGGAAAGGAGTCCACTAGTGGAGGAGTCACTGCACAGTGCGTGTAGTCAGTGTATCTTGGAGCATAATTCTTTGTGGGGAGACCCATAGTATGCATATGTAGCATATGCATAGAAAGGGTATGTTTATTTCAATGATACAGTCGAATTGATGAACGATAACTGTGGACAGCTACGCAGCCACTAAAAAGAATGTGTTAACAATGAGTTATTATTTTGGACAGTAATTTCTATTTTCAATTTCTGTCAAATATAAAACAGCCTCCTCAATGTGAAGTGGAGGTTAGCAAAATATATTGCAGGAGTACTTGGAACAAACATGTCTCTATGCGAGCTAATATTTCAAAACCTGAGTTTTATTTTCAGACTGAACAGATAAATATATGGCTTTCTCATTTTTGCCAAAGAACATTTTTCTTTTAGCGTTATCAGTGTTGGAGCAAACTTTATTTCTCTAGTATCTATGCTATTTTTTTCCTTGTGAGATTTTCGGCAACTTTTGGATTAGTTATTCACTGATTATTTTTTATTTAAAAATAAACAAGATTTTTAAAAAGTCAAATCTAAAGGTATTGCCCTGGAGAGATGTTTGTACATATTATTAAGTGAAAAAAAGCAGGTGACGGGGTAAAGTGTATTATATAATTCCATCTTAAAAATAGGGATTAATGCCCTCCTCAAAACCAGTTTGTCAGTCCCTTTTAAAACTAAACATGCAACTGTCATATGACCCAGCAGTTGCACTCCTGGGCATTTATCTCAGACAAACGAAAACTTAAGTTTACCCAAAACTCTGCTCATGAATGATTCTAACGGCGTTATTAGGAATAGCTGGAAACCACAGGTGTAACAGCTGGAAACAATCCAGATGTCACCAACTGTGGTACAGCCATGCCGTGGAAGAGCGCTCTGCAGTTAAAAGGAACAACCTGTTGATCCATAAACGACTTGGATGAATCTCAGGGGAATTATGCTGAGTGAAAAGAGCGGATCTCAAAGGTTGCCAGCTGCGGGATTCCATTTATAGAACATGCTCGAAATGACAAAACTGTACAAATGGAGAACATCCTAGCGGTTGCCATAGGTCGAGGAGGGGCTGGGGGCGGGAGGAGGTGGTGTGAGGATAAAAGGCCACAGAGGGTCCTCCTGGGGGGTGGAGATGCTCTGTGTCTTGACTGTAGCCATGTCAGTATCTGGCTGCAATGTGATGAGGATGGGGACGCCGGGTAACGGTACTGATCTACAACAGTGTGTGAATCTGCAATTATCTCCAAGTAAAAAGTTTCATTTTTTTTAAAAATAGGAAGATGTGAGAAGATTCACAACAGACTGTTGACCCTGGAAAACGTGTCTGAAGAGAGATTATTTACTTTTCAACCTCTTACTGTTCGACATGTTGCAACAAGCATGTGTGACTTGGCGATTGTGTCTAGGTTCATAAAGTAGCCCCGAAAATGTGTGGGGGACGGGGAGGAATGGCAGAAAGCTCTACCAAGTGCACCCCAGCCTGGAAAACGCTTGTTCTGTATCTGGCGTGTGGGATCCGGGGAGGAGGGGAGAGCGTGGCCCACTCCGGCCTCCATGTCCCCCCGCCCCCGGCCATCCTGACCCCAGCCTGCCCTGGCGTGCTTCCCCCTTGAACACAAACACTTATGATTTTCCACCAACTCGACCACTCGCAAAAGAGGAAAGGTCCCACAGAGCAAGGAGCAGGTGATTTCTGCGTCGGAAAGCAGCAAACCCTGCCCTGAGCCATCGCCGTGGGCCAAGGACCACCTAAGTGCTTCTTACTTATTATCGTGCGAGTCTCCTGCGAGCCTTAGGAGATAAGGCCTGTGGTTATCCCTGTTCCACAGATGAGGAGACTGAGGCGGGTAACAGTTGTTCGTGCTTGACCTGGCACAGGGAACAATGTCGAAGCATCTAGCACTCAAAGCATCAACCTCTGAGACCCTCATCTGTCCTTGACCGAGCTCAGCCCACCCACCAGTGGTCCTCAAGGCCCATGAGCCTTCAGGAGGAAGCAGGGGTCCTTACCCAGACCCCATTTCTCTGGAGGCAGCAGCTTAGGAAGCAGAAGAAGGGGGGAGCTTGGGCAGGCAGCCAGTGAGCCCGCTAACTGGTAAGCGGCTGGAAGACCGGCGTGCTCCCAGCTTGTCAGAGACCACTCCCAACGGGAAGCGCCTAGAGATGAGCCCTGGGCTGGCGCAGGCCCTGCTTCCAACTCGGCGTGAGGTCAGTCTGGGCTGCGGGGGCCAGCAGGACACTTGGCGGCGGCAGCTGCAGCACAAGAATCAGCCCCAGTTGGAAGCAGTCCCGGCCTGGCTGTGCGGAGCCGTCAAGGTGAGCTCCTTGCTTGATCAGGGACGCTGACCTGGATGTGAGGGCCTCGGCTGGCAGGGCAGGGCACCGCCCCTCTGCCTGTGTCCAGTTCTGTGCTGGGCATTCCCAGACTGCAGGGGAGCAGGCACTGGGAGAGTTGGACGGAAATTTCTGGAAGGGAAGACCGGCCTGTCCTCTTGTAGTTAGTTATGACACTAACCAGAGTGTCCTGCCTCCCTCCGGGGAGGGCCACCTCTCAGAGCAGGGAGGGGAAACCAGGCGGGAGCTGCCTCGGCCTCTCAGGAATGTCTCTTGCTCCAGGTCCTCTTCCTTCCATCATGCTGAGCGAAGGGCTGGAGTCAGGTTGCCCACTGTGGGCACCTTAGGGGGCGCGCAGTGTGACAGCATTTGAGGGAGAGGGAAAGACACAGACAGACTCCTGGGGGCAAGTTCCCTCCTGACACCCCTGACCCATAGCTCCCCTGATACGGCCTCCAGCCCCTCTTCAGCCCCAGCCCCTCCCCCTACACTGGTCCTTCAGAGCTCCAGTGTCACTGGACTCCTGACCGCTCCCCAGATTCACCACGCTCTGACCCTCCTGCCGTCTTTCCACGGCTCCCTTCTCTGCCTAGAAGGTCCCCTCTGCCCAGTGGCAAGTTCTTTGTCAGGGTTTAAGGTACGGCTCTGCGGTTTCCAGGATTGCGCTTCCTGCCTGCCCAGGACAGTTCTGCTTGAGGCCCCTTGTCCCTGCAGAGTTATTGATGGGGTGTCCTTTCGCTCATGGGTGATAAAATCAGACGTGGACCATAAATGGTGGGGTCAGCTTTGGGGCACTTAGCCACTGTGCTGTTTGTTGTTCCCTTTGCATATGCCTACCCCGCCCCCCTCACCGACCGGGGACGCCTGAGCCTGCCTCTTCTCTCCGTGCCCAGGACCTGCACAGAGCCCGGCACACGTGCAGTCACCAGGCCCGGAATGAATGGGCGCGTGAGCGCTGAGAACGGTAACAACGTTCTTTTCCGCTTGTTCCCTCCAGGGATCTATAAAGGGCACTGCTTCCGGATCAATCACTTCCCAGAGGACAACGATTACGACCACGACAGCTCGGAGTATCTCCTGCGTGAGTATCGAGAATCCTCTGCTTCCCCTGTGTGCGGAGGGGAAGCCGGGTGCTGGGTGGGCAGCTGGAGGAACGATACGCCCCGTGGGGGTGCGGGGCCTTTCTATGGATGTCCTCGCTCCCTTTCGGACTCGGAATCATTAACTCAGAGGATGCAGCTTTGCTCAGCACCGCCGTGACGTGCTGGGTGTCCCAAACGAGTTGCTTGGCTGATAGGCCCACGCTCGGGGAGACCGAGGCCCTGGGGAGAGCCGACGAGGGTGCCAGCGTCCCGCTCCCCAGCACTGCTGGGTGTGGTTAGCTTCAGAGGAGCTGTTTGCTGCAGCTGGGCCCGGGGCCCGCAGGTTAAAGATGTAGGCTTGCCTAGGCCAAGCCTCCCTGGGGGGCTGCGACATCCCAAGCACATCGCCCTGCCAGCACTGGACCTGCCCACCTCTCCCCACACACACCCAGCATTCTATTCTCAGAAAATCAGATGAAGTCCCGCGCGAAGACAGCCTCCTGGGTGCCAGGCAGCCTGTGAGAGAAAGCGAGGAAGATGGCAGAAGTAGCCTCTGCTACATAGGCCTGAAGTGTTTTCAGCACCAACTGGTGCAGCCACTTCATCTGCCCATGAGCTGCCCCTTGAATCCCCACCCTGCCCAGATCCTGTGGCTGGCCCCAGAATGGAGCCAGGAAGTCACAGCACATACTGAACCCAAAGGACAAACCCAGCCCCATGCCCTAAATCCAGATCTCATCCCCGGGCCCGGGACTACCTCCCTGGGAGGAAGGAGGGAGCTGAAGGCAGAGCAGGAGAAAAACAGCACCACTTCCAAGTCATTTTCCCATTCGAATTAGCCTAGACACACGCAGAGCTGCTCACAGCAGGACCCCCGGGGGCTTGGGCCTGCCTTCATTTATAGAGAATCGATACCACCATCCTCAGAGAGAGCACAATTCACTCTGCACCTACTTATGGATCATTTTTTTCCTAAGAGAAAGGATTTTGGTTCTGAGTCATCTGGTGAAATAGAGCAGCACGTGGTTCTCACGGAGCCTGGGGCAGTGTGAGGCTGCTCTGGCCAGGCCCAGAACCTGAAATCATTCAACCAGATCTGCCTCTCCTTCCTCCTTCCCTCACCTTCTCCTCTTCCTCCCACCCGTCCTCTCTTTCTGCTTTCTGGGGGCCGGCACCGAACCAAGCAAACGACATTCCATAGGGTCGCCACGAATAGTTGTGCGGGTTGCACGCTGCACAATTTGGAGGATGCCACTTGCAGAGACTGTGGTATGAATGACAGCCTTCGACCTGCACAGCGTGCGGCCTGCACAGCCATCCACCTGGGGTGGCCCCTGGTGCTCAGCCCAGCTGGGATGGCTCCACTGAAAATCTACCCACTCAGAACCTGCCCTTTTCTGCCACACCCAGGGCAGTCAGGCGCCTCAGACAGTTCAGAGGGCAGATTTGCCCCACTGACCAACCCTGGGACTGTGAGGGAGGAGAAGCCAGCCAAAGAGAACAAACCACACCCTCTGCGTTTCCCACTGAACTTGTCTGAGGTTACGGGCATTGGCACTGGTTCTTCCTCGTCATTCCCCTGCCCCTGTCCCCATCAGGGTCCCCAGAGCTCTAGGATCTCTTTCTAGACTGGTCTCATGACGTATCAGCCCGGAGGTCAGGCAATGTGGCTTCCTGAGGTCCCGGCTGGAAGCAGATGGTGCGCTCGGCAGATGGGGTGGACGAAGGGCGTCAGTGCAGGACTATGGACAAAGGTGTGGGCGAGGTTATGGGAAACTTGCAAGGGACGGCAAGCACACAGGGGCGAGCCGCAGGAGAAGCCGCACCCCTCCCCCCCTTCAGGCCTGGACAGGTGAGGGAGGTAGGTATGGGAACCCGGAGAAGGGTTGCCGTAAGGACAGAGTCACCTGGCGGGAGCTGTGGCCTTTATGAAGAATGCAGCCACCCGATGCACAGCCTGCAGGAAGGAAGTCTCACCTGCATGCTCCTCCAGAAGCCAAGTCAAGGGTGCCCGCTGACTCGTCCATGGTGTTAGCCTCCCGGGCCCAGGACTGGAAGGAGAGAGGAGGACCGAGGGTCTGGGGGGCAGACCGAGAGCATGCCACGCAGGCGCCGTCCAGCGCAGGTTCCTGCCGTCCTCAGACCGCACCAGCAATGAGCCCAGGGAGGGAGAGAAGGCTGAGAGGCCTCAGCAGTGATTTCCCCACATGAAAGGATAGTGACAGCTCAACAGCAATTAAAGCTTATTTGGGAAGGAAATGTTCTCAAATGTACCCTACAGGGAAACCAGCGCGGTCATTAACAAGCCTGGAGATTCCCCAGGAAGAGAAGGGGTGATGGCTTCAGGGCCTGTGAGCTCTGGGTGCCGGTGGAATTGGGGTGGAGGGCAGAGCTGACTCTCCAACAATGAGGGCTTTTGCCACTCAGGAGCTGCAGAAACGGGGAGAATTGGCCCTGAAACGGAGCTCCAGAGTATAGGTCCTGTGAACTTGGGGCCGGAGGGAGTAGGCAATGTTCTGGGACAAGCCAAGGTCACGGTCACCAGCCTGTGTTTCCCAGGACACCCTGGTCCCTAGTATTCAGTCCTCTGGTCTGTGTCCAGACGGTTGATCCTCAAAATATATAGAAGCACAAAAGAGAGAGAGAGAGAGCTCTGGAGGCTGATGTTTGCAGGTGACAGGGATCATGGGAATTCATTTACTCACTTATTCAATAAATAACAGAAAGTTTTTTGTGGGCCTACTGTGTGCCAGGCACTGTTTTAGGCATGAGAGATACAGGAGTGAACAAAACAGAGCTCCGCCCTCCCGGTGCTGACGCTGCAGAGGAGAACAGGTGTGTCGGAGGTCACAGAAGGTTCCAGTGGACTCCCTGTGGGAGAGCCTGCTAGAGTGGCGGCTCAGCTGTCCAGGTGTGGGGCACCAGCCCGGGCAGGTCCACGGTTGTGCTTCTTACACCTTTGACAATTCAAGAACAAAGTCCGCCCCCAAGCCGTGCATTTGAAGCCCTCCAGAGAAACCAGGGCTCCTTGGTGGGCTCTGGGCTCCGGCGAGGCCTCTGTTGGTTGGCAGCTCCACAAGCAGCTGGGGCTGCGAGGCCACCACCCACACCTCACCTGCTCTTTCTCTTCCACCGGCCTCGCCAGCCCCACGGGCTCCCGAGCATCTGACCCTGGGCCTGGGCCCCTTTTCCAGATTCCACACTTCCAGATAGGAGGATGATCTCTGTGCTCAGCCTCACAGTGCTGGTGTCAGGGCTGCTGGGTGTGCCTGAGGGCGAGTTGAAAGGAGGTGCACTGGGCCTTGATCTGGCCACGGGCTGGACACTGACCGTGCTTGCCCCTCAGCTCCACGTAAAACCAGCCTGTGCCATTGTCCACAGCGACCCCGACTGGCGTCTGCACATCCGGAGCTCCAGAGTGAGCCCATGTGGCAAGGGACAGGTGCTCACAGGACTTACCTGGGCGGGGTGGATGGCTCTGAGCCAGACCTGGCCTCAGCGACCTTAGAGACGCCAGGCTCCCTTCTCTCTGCCCCTCTGAGCGAGCGGTCTGCAGATCGAGGGCATCAGAGGGGCCCTGATCCCGGCTTTGCTGGCCGGCAGAGCTCAGAGGACTTTTCAGAAGCCCACAGGAAACCTCCCAGAGCCCGCGGCTGTAAGAAGCCAGAGGGAGGAGGAGGAGGAGGTGGCGGAGAGAAGAGCTTCATTTAATGCCCCAAACAAACCCCTCTCTGTGAAGCAGGGGCACACACTGGTGGGCTTACAGAAGAGGAGACAAACGCTGTCTTCAGAGGCTGAAAGGCCACAAACCAGCTCAGCTGGCTCAGGAGTTTGGTGCCTGCCAGCACTCCCTGACTCACTGTCCCCTGCTGGGGCCACCAAGGGTCCACCCAATGAGATTTCTACTGGGCTGGGAAACCTGCCGGCACATCAGGAAGGCTGAGCTTGGGGCTCCTCTTCACGTCCCCCTTCCTTTCCTCATTCCCTTCCTCCCTGCTGTGTGCTAAGGAAGGGGGACCCACATCCCCCAAGCCCCTACTAAGTGCTTTATGAACCTTATTTCATCAAATTCTCGCATCGATCGTCGTGGGCGGTATATTCTTTTCCTAGGGCCACCGTAATAAATTACCACTAACTGGGTGGCTTAAAACAAAAGGCATCTGCCCTCTCGCGTGTGGAAGCCGGAAGCCTCCAGTCAGGCATGGGCGGGGCGTGCTCCCACAAGGCCACGGGGAGGGTGCTTCCTCTCCTCTTCTAGCTTCTGCGGCTCCCAGGCCTCCTCGACTCGGAGCTGCATCCCTCCTCTGTCTGCCCCATCTCCACACAGCTTCTCCCTCGTGCGTCTCCTCTTCCTATAAGGGCACTTGTCATTGGATTCAGGGCCCACCCGAATCCAGGATGGCGTCATCTCGAGACCTTTAGCATCCTCATGTCTGCAGAGACCTTTCTTTCAAATGAGCTCACATTCATAGGAACCAATGGTTAGGACTTGGACATGTCTTTTGGGGGCCACAATTCAACCCCCTATAGGGAGGTATTACCACTGTCCCCAGGCTATAAAAGAGGGGACCTTGGTGGTCAGAAGGTAGCTGCCCTGGTCACCCTGCTAGTCAGTGGCAGAGCGAGGGTGCAAATCTAGCTCTGTTAGACACGACGGTCCATGCTCGTCCCACTCTGTCCAACCACATTCTCCTCTGTGACCTCACGAGGTCGTGAGCTTCCCTGTCCTCGTCTGTCACCTGGGGGTGATGACGATGATGATAGAGATAAAGGCTGTCACTTAGGAAGTGTGTGCTGTGGCCAAGCCTTGTGCTAAGCCCCTTATATGTACAAAACTAACTATAGGATTATGAATTTCATTCCACAAAATGGGGAAACTCAGTTTTAGAGAGGTGAAGTGACGTGACCAAGACTACACAGCCAGCATGTCACAGAGCAGGGCCTGCAACCAGACCCACTCAGTGCTAAAGCCTGTGTCCTCAGCCAGCCATCGGAGGTGCCTGTCACAGATGCCGCCTCCCAGCCTTCTGGAGGCTTCCTGGGGACGGTGCCCATGAAGGGGTCAGGGGATTGTGAGGTGTCATCGGAACGGGAGGCAGTCTCCTGTTTTCATGGCTGTTACTGTGGCCTCCTTGGTGCCACTGAGGAGCTCTCCTCCCTTCTGGCGGGCAGAAGTGCAACCCACACGCAGGAGTGCCTAAGCGAGACGTGGGCAGTTGTGACTCCAGCCCACTTGGCGTCCGGGGGGAGAACCAGCAGGCCTGTGTCATCACTTACATTTGGTCCAGCTGCCCCACCAGCCCCAGCTCCCAACGCTCCACGGTCTCCAGGGCCTGATGGGAATGTTCACAGTCAGGGGGAAGGGCCTTGAACACGGGGGCTGCTGGCCAATGCCATGGCCGTGCCCAGGAGGATACCACCCTCTCTGCCCCATCTCCCGCCTGGCCCAGGCATCGTGCGCGCCTCCAGCGTCTTCCCCATCCTCAGCACCATCCTGCTCCTGCTCGGTGGGCTCTGCATCGGTGCCGGGAGGTTCTACAGCCGCAAGAACAACATCGTCCTCAGTGCTGGCATCCTCTTCGTGGCTGCAGGTGAGCCGGCCGCTCTGGGCCCCGCTGCACGGAGCACACTTCCGGGGCGGGGCGGGGGGAACAGGCCGTATAGTAGCTGTGCGTGATTAACTTCAAAAGTCCAGATATGTGAGGGGTAAGGCACGGGAACCACTGCTTACTGGGTGCTGGGTCTCCTTTTGGGGTGACAAAAATGTTCCAAAGTTAGATAGAGGTGATTGCACAATCGTCACTGAATGGGGCACCTTAAATGGTTAATGTTATGCGATGCGACCTCACCTCAATAAAGAATAGCGAGTCCAGGTGTGCAAAGTGCCACGAAGGGGTAGCACCACTGCCTCACAAGCCTGTAACAGGGACACCTGGCTGAGTTGGGGGTCCAGGAGGTACTCGGAGGGACTTGCAGACACCAAGCGCTGAGCAGGACGAGATGTGGCGAGGAGGTCTGGGGCTGGCGAGCGTGCAGAAGGAGCAGAGACGCCCAGCGAGCCTTGGCGCTGCAGACGTGGAAGAAAGCCAGGCCCGAGTCTCTTGGGGCACAAGGAGCGGGTGCCTGCTGGGGCAGAGCTTGGCCAGAGGCCTCCTCGGTGCCCTGGCAGCACCGCTGGAGCTCAGATATAGGCACAGCAGGTCCCTGTCAGGAGAAGCCGTCGCTGGCCCGTTCCACTGAGTAAGTGCGAGGAAGGTTACAAAGCTCGGCGATTCCTCCCTAAGTCGTCATCGCAGCTCCTTGCACCTTCCCGTCGGTGCGTTTGCTTTCGAGGCGCCTTTCTTCTTACACTAGACTGGGGAGGCGGCCTGAGCTGCAGCCCAGCCCTGCTCTCCGCTCCAGGTCTGCACGTCCCAAGACGGTCGGGTGGTATCCGAGTGTCGATAATGAGAATTGCGACGATGGCGGGGGCCGTGCCTCCTCTGCTGAGGACGGGGAAGGGGCATCCAGGGGTGCCCGGCCCACACAGGTGCCCGTAGCTCGTCCTCTTCCCCATCTCATCTTCTCCTCACAGAATCTCTTGGGGGGGAGGCTACTTCTGTTTACCTCATGGAACTGAGGGTCAAAGCAAGTAAGGGACCGGCGCAGGACCTCGTGGCCAGGCCGACGGAGCCCAGGCTCCTGGCTCCATTTTTTGTGCATTTTCTTCTACGTCATTTCTACTTTTGTTTCCTTCTAGGGCAATAAATATGTGTGTGTTCGGAATGTGTGTGTGTGTGTGTGTGTGTGTGTGTGTATCCAAGCGGGGCATATATATGTGTCAGGAGTGGTATGTGTCTGTGTATACATGTGTCTGTGTGTATGTGTGTGTTTGTGTGTGTCTGTGTGTCTGTGTGTGTGTGTGTGTTTGTGTGTGTGTGTGTGTCTGTGTATCTGTGTGGTTTTGTG